TGCCTGTATAGGCGCTGTGGGCATCAATTAAATAAAGGATTTTGTCTACGTTACTGAACAATAGAGCATATTCATACTACCAATCAGGTGACAGAAAAATGCGCCGAATACAACCAACCCCTATTCATAGCCTTCAAAGGAAACAATACGGCGTTTGACTAAGTGGAGACATTAGCAGTGATGCAGGTATTACGCAATTAAAACATCCCGGATTCTAAGTCATCATAGTTCTCCATAAATAAAGCGACAGAACCCCAATAAAGAAGGGTGCAAAGCAGGGAGACACGGTCTTTTTAATGGTAATCACCGCGTGTTTGCCGAACTCTCCAGAGCCCTATATTGGGAAGAGGTAGAGATAAGAGTCAAAGGAGAGTACCTTAGTAACCTTCAATTCGTTGATGACATTGCATCGATGAGTAACGCCAGAGACAAATTACAATTCATGATTACTGAATTATACAAGGAAAGAAGATGAGTAGGTCTATGCATTCAAATGAATATAAGTATATACATTAAACTGAAGAAACGTGCAATAGAATCGGCAGTGAACAACGTTCGCGATAGGTGGCGAGACACTGGAAGTTGTAAACAATATGCCTACTCAGGAGCAGTAGTAACCACGGAGCCAAACCATTAAAGAGAAATAACTAGAAGAATAAGTAAGGAATGGAGCGCATTCGGCAAGCATTTTTCATATCATGAATGGTAGCCTATAGCACCGTCCCTCAAGAGGAAGTTATATAACAGCTGCCTTTTACCGGTACTCACCTGTGGAGCAGAAACCTGTATCCTTACAAAGAGAGTTCACCTTGACTTGAGAATGACGCAACGAGCAACGGAAAGGTAAATGATACGTGTAAACTTAAAAGGCGGGAAGAGAGCAGAGTGGGTCAGGGAACAAACCTGGATTAGGGAGGATATCATAGTTGAAATCAAGAAGAAGAAATGGACATGGGCCAGACACGTAGTGCGTTGGCAGGATAACCGCTGGCCATTAAAGAGGCCTTGCAGCACTTTTCCAAGTAACCCTGGAATGGATTCACTAAAGAAGCCTAATGACTCACGAATTCACCTCCACAAGTTTTTTATTTGTTCAGTACAAACAGAGTTATAAAACTTGTCGCACGTTGCAATTGCATTTACTCGTTTCTCGTCCCGTCGAAAGCGCTGGAAGCTAACAAGGGAGGTATGTCACGAGAAAGGTAAATACGCTCTATGCACCTCATGCTCTCGAGCCCCCCCCCCCTTTTTTTTTTGTCTTCGAATACGCGGCTTTTCAGTGTGATCGTGCGCGCACGAGTGCACAGGTCGCAGCCTACCGCGGCGGTCCCAGTAAAGGCTCAACTCGCCATGCTAAAATTACCCAATAGCTGATACGTGACAGGTGATTTTTGAGTATGTAGCGTCATTTCTCGAGAGAAACCAATATTTAGCTGACATTGGAAATTTATTGTGAATTACAGGCTGCGTGCTGCGCTATATTATTTGAGTCGCGCGTTCTCGGTAGCCTCGACTGCCGATCGGAACCGTTGTCTGACCATGCTCAAAAAATGTTGCAGGGCCCCTTTAAGGCCTAGATTCATAGAGAAGGCAAACGCGTGAGAGAAAGGTAGAAAAGTGAGTGGGCAGAAGAGATTGACAAGTTTGCAGGTATAACATGGTACTAGAAAGCAAATAACCGGGTTGATTGGCGGAACATCGAAGAGGCCTTTCCTTTGCCCTGCAGAGGGAGTAGTCGGACTGATGATGATGATGCTTCGTAGATTGTAAGTGAGGCCATCAGACCCCTGAAGTTCAAAGGACAAATTAATCTGCAAAGCTCGGCGCCAATTGAATGCTTACGTAATTGATTATCTTATCTCCGCTGAATCACAACTGCGTGAGGGCGCGGCTGAAGGGGTGCTCTTTAGTTGCTCAGCCTCCTCGATAGAGGAGGCTATGTCAGCGGCATGTGCTGCAACAGTGTTTCGGGAGGTCGCACTGACTGGCACTGCAGAGATGACTTCTAATGGAGGCGTTCTGTCGGCCAGTATAGACTGTCGCAGATAAAGAAGCTGCTTTAGCCAGGAGACCTGATGGGATAAAGGACTGCTTGCTAATTTTGCGAAGAAATTCATTTGTATACTGATGAAACTTGTCCTTGCCTATTATTAAAACCGGCCATTTTGACCAACGCTTGAATGCACTTATATATAAACTAGTGCTAGCTTTCCCGTTGCAAGTGAACATGCCTTCACAGCTCACTGCACTCAGTTCCTTAATCACAAGATCTGACCTTAAAAGTAAACGTCAATTATGAAAGCTTGCTATTAGAAAAATAGCAAACATTTAGCTTGATTTCTCATGTAGTTTATGTCCTCTAAAAGTGATGTACCCAGCAAATATAGGAAGATACTTTGCCAGAGCAGATTATAACTGCTTTTGCTGTGGTTAACAGGCACATAGTTGACCAACACACATATATATCTCTTGAAGGTCTTCCTGGATTCGGTAGTGTTATAGGTGCTCAAGGGAAGAAGACGAACAAATAAAAACGACGCTTTATTGCACACGCTGCCACCGGAAACCGACCTAAGGCATACAGCAGGTCATGTATGCCCTGACGAAGGCCGGTTACCAGCCACAACATGATCAATATAGCACCGCTTTAAAAGACTCGCTTGTCGCCCTCTTGTAAGTAACCTAGTGCAACATGGGACTCCTTAGAAACCCTCACACATTCACAGTGGCTACTGTTTCTGAGTTTCTTGGGATTCTCGAGTTACGCTAAATTTACTTGCAATCAATCAAGTCTTTATTTCAGCTTGTACGCACAAACTGTTGATGGCGAGAAAAAAGCAGCGAAGTTAGAGACGCTTGACGGGCCTCTCCACCCGTACATGTCAGCAGTATAGGCAAAAAGCGGAAGACAATTACTGCACAATAGGTTCCTACAAAACACTATGGATTTACATACCAAAACAAAAAAGAAATGAGTAAAAGTGCTGCAACAGCCATATATATGTACCCTATCTATCAACAGTACTGATTTGCGCCAGTAGTCATATGACTAAGTACCTGCTACCCCACAATGAGTTTTAATCGGCTTGTCGATCGTCCGTTCACACGTATCATGTAGTGTCATCACGGTCACGGTAAGGCGCCCAATACAGGCTATAACAAAGCTAGCAATGTTCAAATCCAGGTTGAAATGAGCGAACGAAGTCCCAGTTATATAATTAAGAGAAATAAACCATGAGCGATCAGATTAGTTGAAGTTAACATTGCTAAAGTGTTTTGGAAATATGGGACTAACTCCGGCGTGGCACAAGAGAGGGCGCACCACCTCGTACAGCGGCTGAATATCAATTCCCCTGCAGCGTCGTCTGCCCCATGGGCTGCAGACGACGCTGCCCATGACGAGCATCTCAAATGCCGTAACAAGCAGGAAAGCACCATGCTAAAGCTAAAGTGGCGCACATACCGCACACCGAGTTTGCGAGTCTGCCTAACAAGATTCTACTAGCACCCGGGAAACGCAACATGCTTACCTCAAACATTGGCTTCATTGACGCTTTGGTAAACAGAGCTGTTGAACATTACAACCGTGAATCCCCGAGTCCCGTACTAAGCACTTTTCATGTTTTAGTTCTGGAGCGTCATACGTTTTTTATTCGTTTGTTCGTCTGCTTAACTTCTCTCTCTCAATATATATATATATATATATATATATATATGTGTTGAGCATGCGTTTCAATGTGAGTGTGCCAAAGTACTCGATCCGCAGAAACAAATTTGATATATATATATATATATATATATATATATATATATATATATATATATATATATATATATATATATATATATATATATATATATATACATATTTATATCAAAATAGTTTCTGCGGATCGAGTACGTTGTATGCGTTGAGAACAATGGACGAACGTGCGCAAATAGTTACTAACGTTTCGACAGGAGGGCCTGCCTTCATCAGAAAAAACAATTACTGACGAAGGCAGGCCCTCCTGCCAAAACACTGGAAGTAATAGCCGTTTTCGCACGTTCGTCCGTCGCTTATCAACGCATACAGAGCACTGAATCTCCAGAAACACTTCTTAATATATATATTTACTTCGCCTCTTTTAGCGTCACCCAGGGCTGGCTGGGCCATGTGAATAGACCGGTGAGCTATGTCTATAGCGTACACGTCGGTGCTTTTTGAAAAACAGTGTGCCTTATCAATGGCGGCTCGTCGCAGATAAACGAGCAACTTTGCGGCGTGACTACGTGCGCGTACTTGGTGCTGTGATTCATGTAGTACTACTCGTCCGATGGAAAGACCAGTGATAGTTTTGCAGCAAATTTACAGAAAGTAACTTCTGGGCTGTTACGTGAACGAAACACGCTGTACTTATGAGGCTCGCTGTAATGGTGGATACCCGAATAATTTTGACCCCCTGGGGATCTTTAGCGTGCATTTCAATGTGAGTGTGCCATTTCGTCCCCATAAAATGGCATCCATCGTTGCCGGGAATCAAACTTGCGTCCTCAAGCTAAGGATCATCTATAGCTGGTGAGCCGCCGCAGAGGGTTTTTAACTCTATAAATTGATCACTAATTTTGCATAAATGTTGTCAGAGTGCCATGTAACAGACATAGAAAGAAAAATCTGCAGTAGGACAGAGGTGTCTTGGTGATTGGCGGGCTGAAACCTTTATGGCGGCGTTTGAGCAAACTTTCCAGTGGTGGTATTATAACTTGCGATAAAAATTACGACGCATCTAGACAGACTAAATACTGTTACAGACATGGGGAAAAGAGAAGTGGCCCTTCAGGACGGCTTTTTGAAGTTTCCCTCCTTGAATTGTTTTTTTTTTTTGCCAATACGCAGACTATTGAAGACGCCGAGGTGTTCTTAATTCGAAACATATCAATTACGTGCCTATGCGATACTTAGGTGGAAATCGCGAATCTTGCTTACGAAGTTTGCGTGCGCTTTGGATTGGCGAACTCACCTATCAGGTCGAAAAGATACACCTTGTTGCGCAGGCGCTGTTCCATTCCCAGATAGACGAGCACCCTGGCGGCGTGATGCTTCACGTAACGCGCGTACTTGGTGCTGTGGTTGGTGTAGTACCACTCGTCCGATGGAAGGACCAGCTGCGTCAGGCTGTCCGGCAGCTCGGCGTCCGTGAGCGCCGTGTGGTGGTCGGGAACCAGAGCCAGCGTGGCGACGATTTGCAGCACGAGGCAAAGCAGTTGCTGCGTACGACCGGCAGTGATTAGAAGAATGCGCCGCATTAGGCGTCACTTCAAAGGTTTCGCACTCTCGTCATCTTGCTACAATAATATACCTATACAATAATATAGATCGTGAAAATGGATGGTCTCTCATTCATGACCTGACTCCTCAAAGGCTGTGGAATGCTATATATGGCGTTAAGTTGCGAAGGATTCACCTCATGAAATACACTGTTAGCCTCGGACTCACTCTCCAATATCCCGATGTCAAGACGGTGAAGGAGGCGAGAGGCAGACGAAACAAATATAAACTGCTCGTCGTGAACTGCTTCCAATTTCCGAATTTGAATCATAAAATAGCTGTGTGTCCTATGCCAAAGCCGCACTATGATATTGCTTAAGAATAAGTGCGAGAAACCTGGTGAACATATTTAGCATATGGTGCTGCCTTAAGCGTGTCTGAAGGAGCAGCTGTGGTGTAGAAGCGATGGACCCTAGTAGGACCACACACAGCTTTATTGTGCCATGCCCATCAGCCAACTATATTGCTCACAGGCGTTTTTACATGGACGCTACTGCATCAACGCATCATCTCTGTTCTCTCACTCCATAGCTCTTAACTGTGAGCCACATTGCTGTCTGGTCATGTTACCGTGCTATTAAAGCATGGAATTGCACGGGCTGACTCCTTGGAAGCTACCTGTATCGCTCCGGCGGCTCCATGCAATTGATACGTATGTGTCAGCAGCGGTAAACTTAAACTTGTCACGAGGCTTTATATTGAACTGTTTGTTTTGTCATACATATAAATTCATGAGCCATTCGATTTAAGCACTAAATCGTATCGCACAAACAGTAAAAATTTCAATAATGATGTCAATAACATTGCATACATATCTTCATGCGCAGCCAATCAGTGAATTGTGCATCGACATCAGAAGAAAATAATATGCCAGCAGGAAATATGCACTCCATGCATTTAGATACATGTTTCTTTTTTCAATAGGAAACTCACTAGCATTGGAATGAAGGTGAAAAAATACGTGAAATGGTAACTCTGACAAACTTTCTGGGTCTTGTTTCACAACAAGTTTTCACTAGAAATACACTTAATATCTATGAGTTCCCGACATTGTGTTTCTTTTTTATTTTTAGATAATCTGAGTTAACAGCAGAATTGCCTCAGACTGGCTGGCCAACGTTTCGATAGGAGGACCTATCTCTGTCAAAGGCACCGTGTCATCCTTGGCGTGTAAGTTTTAAAGGGGTTAGTGGTGATGTCATCTCTTGGTGGTGGCAAAACGAAACAGGTACACAAACACACACACGTACACGCACGCGCACACGTGCACACTCACACGCGCACAAACACACGCACGCACACACACAAACACACAAACAAACAAAGCAATGCGAGGGCTCTTTAGTGTCATAAGGATCGTAGTGAACAAAATCAGCTGCGCGATCTGACGAAGACGAAACGAAACATGAAAACGGGTTCAACACTGACTTTGAGCAGAATTTTTCATCACAAATATAGGTGTACGCACCAGAACATTGCATGAAGTCTGTCAAAAAAAAAAAAGCTTTTTTTTTAAGTTAGTGATGATGTACTCACACAACCACTTTTGTTGCACTAGTATGCCACCAAGGTTGCATGGCGTACTTTTTTCGACATCTCCGTCAGTTGGAAGCTCACTACAAGAGTTGACTACCTTGAAACCAGCCCTTCTGAACCTTGATAAATGTGGTGGATTTTAGTTCAATTTTTCTGGGACAATTGCAGAGGTAGCAGACTCTTAAAAAAAATAGTTCTTTGTGGTGACCATCTGTGCATAAGCGACGAACGCTGCTATGTCGGCACGTGTCACACTTGTTGGATATCAACCCTCCCCCCTCCCCCCCACTTTTTTTTTGTTTCTTCGCACATGTATACGGTAGCAAGTCAGTTATAACCTGGCTAACCTCCCTGACTCAGTCTCTCTGCTCTCTCCCTGCCCCATCTTAGAATGAATATTGCTGCCGTCGAGTCGAAGTGAGAGCGATTCGTCAACTGGTTAAATTGATGAAGTCACAATCAGAGAGGGCGTATGAGCACGCAGCGAGAAGCTCTATGGCCGCAGTGTTCGTTGAACAGCCGTTGTACTTACGGGATCGTGCGTGGAATCCAACGCGTTCACCAATATCTTGAGGTGGGCTTCCTCGACCAGTTTGTTCTGGACGTCGATGTTTTGGCTCATGAAAAGCACGGCCCGTGCGCTCAGAATCTGTAGGCAGTGGTAGCTGCAATGGCGCCATCTGCAACGATGCCGGAAAAATATTGCAGCCAGAGCAAAAAACAAAATGAAGCAAAATATTCATCGCGAAAACCGGCAAGTAGCCGTTAGCACATGAGACGTTCATCTGGGTCTGAACTAGTAAATAACACGAACAACCACCTGCTAACAATGAAACTGCCCCCAAAAAATGACCCACCCACTTTTGTGTGTCGGGAAAATTGAGACAAGTGCCTATGTTCAACAACCACAATAGTTAGCTTCTTCTACTGTTCCTTGTGATAAGGTCCTGCAGCTATCTAAAGTGATCATTGACATTTAAAAAATCATTTTCACGTATATATTTTGTGACTGAACAAGACCGCAGCTCGTAAATATGAATACTTACGCGTAACGGTAAATTAGATGTCTTCCTGTGGCATCGGTTACGCGAAGTTGAGAACAATATAAATAGATAGCTCTTTGGCATATAGTGCATAGAGGTTGCTGCGTCACAGATGCGACTTTTGGGAGAGGGCATTCTTTCTGTTTGCGGCTGCACAAATAAGCGCCTGAACAATACTCGTACATATATATGTAAACCCGCAGCCGAGATCACTCGTTATATCCGCCGTATATTTTTGACAATTCAGAGTAAAAACGTTTGAGACCTGACTTTTTTTTCATATGTCATTCCCTTTACAGGGAGCGTTTTCGAAAATGCAGGCGTCTGATGGCAGTGATGTACAGTGTGAGTGGTAATGAATAGACTGTATTGGCGCACTTGGATTTCCAACGACATTCTGCACGCTTCTTGAAAACTAGACAAAAAACTTGAAAAAAAAAACAAGATAGCGCCGATCCGATTGCCCAAGTAAAGAGCCATGCGTATGCTACACATGGCCTATCACTGTTACGCATGGCCCTCTAGCGGGACATCCTGTCAATGTTAGATTAAACGATCATCACGTGGACCCAGTGAAGAAATTAGCAAAAAAACAGCGGCACAATATTTCGATGTGGCAAGTCTAAACTTCGAGAACCTCAAACTTTACGTCATTAAGGGGAACTTCCGGTTCCCAAGAGGCAGAAAATATACACATTCGTACCTTATTTACGAGTTTAGTACACTCCAGTAAGTTTAATACGCTCCAATTTTTGAGCCACTGGACTGAATGTAGGTAACGAACTACATTTGAAACATCTTTTTTTGAATGAATCTCCACAAATTAGGTAAAACGAAAAGAAAATGGCCTTGTGCACATTGAACTCTATGGGCCTAAATTAGACAACGACTGCGTGCACGGCCAAAATACTTTGTATCTGACAAAACAAAACAGCCAATTTTTCTTCCAGTTTAATATATCAATTACTTCTCATACTGGTGTGTTCTCAGAGCCAGTGAAGCTGGCAAACCGTTCTAATACACAAAGATGGCGCTATCAACTAACCTTATAGAAGGAATTCAGTGTACCAGTGAAGAAAAAAAAAACTTAGCCCTGCCATCTTAAACTTAAGAGTCTCATATAGGAACTGTGTACATTGACAAGCTTACACTGTAAAATATGACAAAGTAGATCGCACACTCACGAGTATATTGTGCGCCTGTCGACTTGAAACTCGAATCACAACTCTCAGCTTGGTTTATGCAATTGATCGATTCAAAGATTTTTGGCTTTTTGGTAATAGATAGAAACTATTTTTATAGGCGACTGAGGTGTCCACTGAAGGTGTTGTGCAGACAGTAAAATAAGAAACACGCCATTTAGCTCTTCGTTGACAACACGATCTCCTCCGAAGAAAGTGCTTGTTGGCGTTCCGAACAAGCAGCGCCGATAAACCAAGTCAACAAGTGCAATCGTACGGGCGAATAAAATAAAAGAAACAAGAATAAAGCAGGAAGCAGTGCAATATAAGAGCAACTCGGCTGGTTTCCTTCGTGTTTTCGAAGCGCCCGTGTGAGCCAGACCGCGTCTGGGCTGTGATATACGGGCCCGGTTGTTTCACTTTTCATTTCGTTTCTGGGACCATGTCCACAGCTGATTTAATTTCACTCGGCGGCGATCTCAAAACCGGAAACAAAACAGAGAGAAAAATTTTTGGAGCTTTCTTTTCCTATAAATCTCCTCCCACCTTCCGCCGGCGCCCCTGGCTGGCGGCGCGAATGAAACGCGACGTTCGAGAGGTTTGGCGCCGCCGCTGCTCGCATCTCGGGCTCGGCGGGAAACGATCAAAGACAACGTCGTCCGATGGCATTCGGTTCACACCTCTCGCCCTCCGAGTCACGCATGACTGACGGCTGCCGGTCTTTGATGGATGAGAAGACAATTGCGGCCGAAAGACGCGCCCGGACAGGGGAGGTGCGCTCGGCTGAGCCAGGGAAATCCCGAATCTCGGCTTCACACGCTTCTCGTGTTTTTTTGCTTTGGCGTCTTTATATTGCGTGGCTCCTTCCAGCTGCCCGGTTCTCCGACGACACGCCAGACGGACGGTGTAATGACACTTCCGAGTCATGACGTCTTTTGGCGTCCAAGACGTAATGGCGCTCTAGAACGGACGGGTATTCAATGGATGAGTATACTGTACGACCTATGAAATGCAAGTCAAAAGAAGCGGTGGATTTCAAGTTATTCTGAGTTATCGTCTTGAAAGAATAAATTGTGGCGCACCTACTTTACAGATACTAGAGACCTGCAAGCTGCATCTGTGGCGTGCTTGAACATTCTTTCTCGAGTGCAACATTTTTTTTCTGCGTGTATCGTGTGTAGTCTTCTTGTACATTGATTTAGAGGGCTGTTCAGGTAAGTTCACCGCATGATACCGCTTTGTGCGTGCTGTCTACGAGGGCAATCGGAGGTGCAAATTTATGGAAACGAAAAACGAATTGCACGCAACGTACGCCATAAAAGATCAGAAGGCGACATAGAGCGAGTGGTCATTCAGACATACCTCTCCAGTTGAAACGAAAAGTGCATCAGCATGCGTTCATCGCCTCTCCTTCAGTCCGAAATGGATTCTCATTAAAAAAAAGAAGGAAGAAGTCTATACTACCGGCGTAAAGCTCATGAAACAGCGTGGTCGCCTCGGCTGATGCTAGGTATTTCCTTAACATAAACAGACTAGAGTCGCGTCACAGCCGGTCACAAACCATGCAAGAATGTCCAAAGCCCAGCACCAAAAGCTAACATGCAAACCTGGCTGTGGCATCTTCGGCAGAAGAGCGAACATTTCGTCGCACGTGCTGAGCTCGCGCACCGCGCCACAACGGGCAAGCTCGACGCGGCTACAGCCGCTACAGCGCACACTGTCTCCAACTGTGGGCGGGGCTTGGCTGCTCCTCGGCGCATGCGCGGCTAGGTGAGGACAAACCCACGTGGTGCGCAGATGTGGCCTGGTTATTAGACACTTTTAGTTGGGCGTACGTAATGAGCCAACCTACGCGGCACGATAGGTAGCGTACGCTGCTTGCGAAGCGCTCAACGACACCTTTAGTTCACCATATTGACCATACCGAGATACGTTTGGTTCAACTAGACGTATGTTATTAGAAATAAAACAGCTTTTGGGCGCTCTTAGCACACTCGTGCGGTATAGCAGCTGTCGTAATGGCCACTAGCATCCAGTCCAAGGCGAATAATTTTGGATCCATAGTTTACGTCGGTGTGTTCCTGATGCCTAAATAGATCGCTGGTTTGTGCTTCCGATAGCAGCGCAACATCGTCCCTCAAAGTAAAATATTCTCGATTTGGGCCGGCTTTTTCGCTCTCTGCATTCGATGCCATCGCTGCCATTTTGCTATTTAGTTCCTATTTCAATCTAGATATCGTGAGAGCGTCACGGCGCGTAGGCTCTGCCTCGTCACATTTACGCACGGCGTTTTTTTTTTTTTTTCGGCGTACGCACGCATCCAAGGAATAGATACGTTACGTACTGCGCATGCGCACTTCCCTCCCTTAGCCATGCATGCGTACGTAGGCTCGTTACTTACGCCCAACTAAAAGTGTCTATTGATAAGTAATAGTGCGGAAGGTTTCCCGAGGAAACCCGGCGTTCTACATTGAAAGAGCTTCGCTCTCGAAGACAAATTCTGGGGTATTACGTGCCAAGATACGACACGATTATGACTGTTAGTGCAAGCTGCCAATCTAGAGTCGCCGGCGCGAAGTCGGTGGCGGGAATGACAGCAGGTTAGTTCGTTCCGTACGCAAGCAGAAGCAATGAAAATATCAGACACGTGTGCGGGCAAACGAAACGATATATTTATTATAATAGTACGAGGCACAAGAAATACAACTCGACAAATTACAAAACGTACACATAAAGAACAACCAATAACCTTGCTAGCAAGAAGTAACACACAATGTAACTAACAGTGGAACAATCAAACTATAAGAAAATACGCGAACGTTCATGGAGTATTAACAGGTGATGACATACGAGTGATCACCCGCAGCGTTGGGTTCACGGCGATCGGATGCTGGAAGTCCCGAAGAGTTCTGGCACGACTGCGATGCCGGCGGCGTTGCAACACTGATGTTCAGGGAGAGGGGGCTTGATGGTGAACCCAGACAAGTTGAGCTAACCTGAGTTGATGTCCCGATGTCTACGAGGCAGACGTTGATTGCGCATTTCAACTAGACGAACGGCTAAGTTCATGTGGCCAGCCGATACAAACCCACACTAAAAAACGTCTAGAAGAGATAATCGATAATCTTTTGCTACCCCATGTTGTACAAGCAACCATACTGATTATCAGGGTGATACCCTACACTTAAGTCACTTTGTTTCCTCTCATTCTCTTCTCGGAGGAAAAGAGGACCATCGAAATGGGTCCAATCGTACACGCATGGCATTGTTGAACACTTCACCCTTGAATTATATTGCAATCACGCCCCTTTTCCATAAGCGGGGCATGTTCTCAACTGGGCGAGGGTGACAAACTTGTGATGTGATCGCTTACATTTCGCCAGCGTGTTTTTTCCACTGTGGGAAGAGGCTAGAGCCTCGGTTCTCAGCCAGTGCATCCGGGAGCCCCTACTTTAG